CCCGCCCCCCCAGCCGCCCGCGCAGCTTCTGCCCAGACATTCGTCACCTCCCCGCAGGGGCGAGCCCCCCGCGCTCGCCACAGTTGTGTCCATGGCCCTGAATTCCAAGAAGAAAGTCAGAGAAGCGCTGGCTGATGAGTCCGCGTACCCACCTTCCTTCCTCGTTCACACTCGCGTGTCCCTCTGACCATCGCCTCCCTTTTCTCCCTGGATGCGTTCTCCCGCGTCCACAGCAGACGTGGGGGAACAGGTGTCATAACTGTCGTCCAACTGGAAAAGCCCCGAGAGCTGGAAGGACGGGGGCAGGGGTGCACCCTCAGTACCTATAGACAATTTTATTTTTCTATCCTTTAAATTTCTTCCCAAACTCTGTTTTAGCTATTTTTTTTTGCCCCCTCACTACCGCCAGAAACCAGCGCGTTGCTAAGGAGCCGGCGCTGGGGGGCGCGCTGGGCTGGGAGGTCTGAGCCCCTCTGCAGGGGCAGTGGCCTCAGCTTCCCGGACTAGGCCAGGTGCGCACAGGGTAGAATCAAGGAAAGGAGGGCGAGGGGGTGGGAGAGGAAGAGGGGGCCGGGGAAGCTGCTGAACAGGAATGAGGGAGACGGGGAAAGAGGCAGCAGGAAATAAATTACACCCAGAGCGCTGCTCTCCTTCTCCATATCTTCTGCTCCTTCACCATCTTCAAAGGTTTCCACGGAGACGCACGCCCCGCCGGGGCAGCCTGGGGGGAAGAAGGGAAGCACTTGGGCGGGCTGTAGGGGAGAAGGTGGGAGGGCCCTGCTGCCAGGGAGGGGCAGCGCCTGTCCCAGGAGCCCATTCTCCCACCTCTGACTCCCACCCTCCCGGGGCGCACTGCTTCACCTGGGGGGAGGGGGGGGCGGTCTGTGGTCTCCAGGTTCCCCTTTCCAGCTCTGAATTCTGTGACTGTGACTGAGAAGTCGTGTCCACGCGCTGCTCATAGCCCCACCTCCTGTTCTCCCAGAAAAAAACGCGCTCACTCTTTCTGTGCTTGACTGCCTTTCCACCCGCTCGCTTTCTTGCTCTTATTTCTCTCTCCGGGTGACTGCCCGTTTCCTTAGCAGCCTCTGCCAGTGTCACTGCACTGCCCATGAGGACCAGGAGTACATCCTGCCGCTCTCTCCAATGAATGGGTTAATTAACCAACAGTCACCACTGTGCACCTGCTATGTGCCCAGGGCTGTGAGACGCTGTGGGGAATAGCAATCCCCACACTGAGGCTGCTGGCGCCTGGGGCTATGTCAGGACAACTGCACCAGGGCCTTAGCCCATTTTACAGATGAAGAAACCGAGATAAAAGAGGAATCATCACTTGGAGAAATTCCCGTGGCCCGTGAGCACTGCAGCTGGCCTC